TAGTTCCAGCTACTTGGAAGGCTGAGGTGGAAGGATCACCAGAGCCCAGCAGGTCGAGGCTGCGGTGGCCGGGAGCGGCTACTGCACTCCAGTCTGGACGACAGGGTGAGACTCCAACTCAAAAAAAAAAAAGAAAGAAAGAAAGGCTCAGACTTAGTAGCTCAGCCTGTAATCCCAGCACTCTGGAAGGCTGAGGCGAGTGGATTGTCTGGGTCCGTGGGCTTGAGACCAGCCCTGGCAACTTGGTGAGACCTCATTTCCACAATAAATCAAAAAATTAGCCAGGAGTGGTGGCATGCACCTGTAGTTCCGGCTACTTGGAAGGCTGAGGCAGAAGGATCACCGGAGCCCATGGGGTGGACATGAGTGTGCCACTGCACTCCAGCCTGTATGACAGAGTGAGACTCCAACAAAGAAAGAGAGAAAGAAAGAAAGAGAGAGAGAGAGAGAGAGAGACAGAGACAGAGAAAGAAAGAAAGAGAGAGAACAAGACAGGGAACCCAGTTAGTTAGTGATGTGGGCCGCCTACGCCCTTGGCTGCACGTGCTGAAAACCACCGAGCTTGCAGCAATAGCATGAAAAAGCTAACCGTCACACAGTATTTCAGAAAAATGGAAGATATTTTCCCTTATTACAACAAAAGAACTCGTAAAATACGATGAGATTGATCCCACTGAGGAAGACAGAGAAAGTACCCCCAGGAGTCCATTTACATGGGGTCACCCAACAGCCAAAACCACTCCACAGCCGGAGTCAGGACAGGGACAAGGGCCTGTGGGGAACGGGGCATGGGGGGCTTCTGGGGTGGCGACGGTAGCCTACATCCCAGCAGGGGTCGGTCGTGCAGGTGCGTGCCCTTGTCGAGACTCAGCACTCATGCCGTCGAGATCTGTGGGCAGCTCGAAAAAGAGAGCCTCTGGCACTTAGGGGAACGCTGCAGTGTCTGCAACGACACGCGTCTCTCAACATTTGGTCGATAATGGACGGCACACACGCACAGGATGCAGGTCCCGTAGCTTGTCATGCTGCATCGCTCTGCACTTCTGTGTTTGTACCACTGTGTACCGCTGCCTGCGGCATTTGGGATGGCCACCTGCTGCACAGGTGTGCGGTCAGGAGCAACAGGCCGGCCCACATAGCCCAGGGGTGTGTGCCAGGCCATCCCATCTAGGTTTGTGTAAGCACACACAATGAAATCCCCCATGACGCATTTCGCTGAACAAGTGTAGCCCCATCACAGTAAGCAGCACGTGACTGTACCTTTAATGGAAAAAGACAACTTGAGATTGATTGATAGGCAGACAGAGGGAAGTTACACGGACAGACCCAACACAGCTAGTCTAGTGAAACAGCCGTAGAAGTGGCGGGTTACAGGCATTCACTGAAAAATTCTTTTCAACTTTTCTGAAAGTTAAAACGTGATAAAACATTTAAAGATTCAGAGTGGAGTTGGCTGTGGACACTCACTCTGAGGACAGTCACCTACTGCAGAGCGTGCCAAGAAGGTGAAGACAAGTGTCCAAGAATGTGAAGTCAAGACGTGAAAAGTAAAAATGCCCGTACAGAAGACAGGCAGGCAGGTCACCACCAGGGAAAACAGAACACTCTGCAGGGTCCAAGCATGCCCACACAGAAAGGCAAAACAACACGAAAACACCATCCAGGCCCAAAATGCCATCCAGGCCTGATCAGTGACTACCACGTGAGCTGCTGTACCCAGCTCCCTATGACTTTGCCACCACCTAGCAGGACAACCCCAAGGCTCGCACTTTCTCCAGGTTTCGTTTTCCTCACTCAAAAACGAGGCAAATTATACTGCTCTGCCTCCTTCCAAGGGTTATGGAAAAACCCCACAAGACTGTAAGACATGTACAGACAAAACTGTCATTCATACAAGATGCTACACTGATAGTGTCAGTCTAGTGGTCTGGCACCAGGGACAACAATCTCCTTTGGAGACGTGTGACCAAAGCGAACCCCACGGGGAAAGGTCTGTCACTGGGGCTTGTTGCTGTCCTCGAGTGTCTGATTTGGCGTAGGCCTGCTGGGTCATGCGGTGACTCAACGTGTGCTTATGAGCCACCGGACAGTTGTGCAAAGCCGCTGGCTGGCTCCTGTTCCCCCCCTCGCATGCACAGTGCTGCCTTCCTCACACTGGCCCGTGGAGGGTGTCTGGGTGGGACCTAGCCCTAAGGGGTAGAGCAGCAACGCCAGGGTTCTGAGCTGTACTACAAACGCCCACGCATCAGTGCTGGTGCCAGGGACGCCGGGTGTCCCACACTCCACCTCCCCTCCCGGTCACTTGTGCCTGTGGTGTCGTGTCTGAGAGCTGCTGCCTCATCAATGAAGACACTGCTGTGTAGGAGGAATACACAATCAAGCCCAACGCCAAGTGTCATGTGAGAAACAGCTAGCGCTCCCAGGGCGAGGGCCACAGGTGATGGAGCCATGTGCCTGGTGCTTTCTAACCTAGCACGTCCACACACGCCACCAAGTCCTTCCCGTGGCAAGGGCAAAGGACAAAGGCACCGTCTGTTGGAGACACTCATGTAAGCCAAGCTAACCCACTGGGAGGTCTTCAGACAAGTGAGAGGCTTCAGGGAGGCTGAAACTGTCATGATGCATGGAGACAACCAAGAGGGAACGGGAGAACATTCCAGCAAGGGAAACACACTCACAAAAGCCTCGGTGGCAAAGCACCGGGTATATTAAAGAACGCTTAGTCCTGCACTGGGTAGAAGGCTTCGAAGAGCGGCTGGGGTGGGGTGGGGCGAGGGAACAGCCAGCCGGACTACTGTCAGGGTCTGGGCTTGGTCTGCTTGGCCCTGCCATGTCCAGTGCCTAAATGTGACCACCAGAGTGGGAGGTGGGGCCCTGCACGTGTGCCTGGGCCATGAGGGCGGGTCCCTCGCGAATGGGCAGGGCCTCCTGGGGAATGAGCGCGCCTCGCTCCGCTAGCTCCTGCACACGAAAGCCAGGCACCTGCCCTTCCAACTCTCCTGCATCCTCTCGCGCCAGGTGGCGGGTTCCCCTTCACCCTCCGCCGTGGGGAGGGAGCCCGAAGCCCTCAGTCGGGTGCAGACGCCGGTGCCAGGCTTCTTGCCCAGTCTGAGAACCGTGAGCCACGCGAGCTCTTCTCTTCACCAGTTCCCGGCCTCAGGCCTCCTTCAGAGCAAGGGAAACAGACCCAGACAGCTGCTCTCTGGGAGCGACGCCTTTTGCTCATTTCCATAGGGAGAGTTCTGCTTCTCCTGCTTTGCCTGATGATTTCCTAAAACTCATAGATGTGAGTATTTGATGGGTGACGGGATGGAGCTTTCAGGGGAAAATGGGAACCCTGAAGCAGAATCGAAGGAAAGGTCGAGAACTACAACAAGCAATGGCAGAAAGGAACGGCAGCAGATGAGACAAGCGGACTTGAAGGCAGGGCGATACCGCTAATGGAAGGGGAAGAAAAAAGACGGAAAACACACAAAGAAGCACGTGCCCCGTGGACAGCATCCTTCACTCAGCACGTGACAATCGGAATCCAGAGGGGAAGAGAGACAATGGGGCAAAAACAGGGCAAGAAAAATGTAAACACTAAAATTTTAAAAAATCTAATAAATAATCAGACTGGGCATGGTGGTTTACACCTGTCACCCCAGCACTTCGGGAGGCCGAGGGGCCGAGGCAGGGGGACTGCCTGAGTTCAGGGGTTCAAGACCAGCCTGGACAACATGGCGAGACCGCGTTTCCACAGTAAACCAAGAAATTAGCTGGGCATGATAGCTCATGCCTATAATCCCAGCACTTTGGGAGGCAGAGACAAGAGGACTGCCTGAGTCAGGGGTTCCAGACCAGCCTAGGCAACATGGTGAGACCTCATCTCTATAGTAAATCAACAAATTAGTCAGGCATGGTAGCACATGCCCATGGTTCCAGTTACTTGGAAGGCTGAGGTGGGAAGACCGCCTGAGCCCAGCAGGTCGAGGTTGCGGTGGCCATGATCATGCCACTGCACTCCAGCCTGGGCGACAGAGTGAGCTTCTGACTCAAAATTAAAAATAAGGAAAAGAAAATCAACTTACAGATACAGAAAGCTCGATGAACCCTAAGTAGGGAAAATTAAAAGAAAAGCAAAAAACACAAAACCAGGCACATCGGAGCCAGGCTCCTGAAAGCCGATATTAAAGAGGAAGCACCAGCCAGAGGAGAAAGATCCATGGCAAATGAAGGATAGTAAGGCCAAGCCCGATTCCTTGGAACCAAGGTAGCCGGTGGAACGCTGTAAGGAGGGGCCAGAGGAAACCCAGTCAGTCTGCACATCTCCTTCTAGGGCCTTCCAAGTGGGGCTAAGATACAGTGTTAGAGAGGCGAAACACAGAGGACTCCGGGCCAGCAGACCCTCACCAAGGGCTGAAGATGGGACGGCCAGGTGGGAGCGGGACCCCACAGGCGGCTCCAGGAGCGGAAGTGGGGGTGACGAGGAGACTTTCTTTCGCCATTCTTACTTCCTTTACAAAACAATGGACTTTTTAAAGCAAAACCACCCTTGGCTGTGGGGCTGTGGCTGCACAGGAGCGAGCACAGGACACAGGGTGGTTCCACTCACGTGTCACTGGCGCAGACACGGAAGCAGCTCATCAGCAGTTCTGCCGCCTTTTCCAACATGTCCCCGACTTTACTTCTTCCCTTCTTGACCAACTGCTGATCTGCCTAGGGGAATAGGAAGACATTCAGTTTTGAAGCAAAAAAAGGGTGCAATTAAGAGTCAAAGTCACAAAAGAATTTGGAGAATCGTCTAGCATATACTACGGTTGTTTTAAAAATGAGACGTCCCTACGTCATCCCAGCTCTTCCACGGACGAGTCCTTCTTCACCGTCTGGAGTGGGCAAGGTAGTCACTGGCCTGCTGAGCCCGGGCTGTACACACACTGTGCTCTGCTGTTCCCTTACTTCAGTCCCTGAACGTGGAGTCCTAGGAACGGGAGGTTGGGACGCTCGAAACAGCAGCTTGATGGATCCGCAAGTCATCCCCGAGCGGACTCCTCCCTGCTTAGGAGGCTGCCTTGGCCAAGGGAGAAAGGACCTCCGCTTCCTTCGGAGCTCCTGATGGCCCAGCAGCAACACCGCTGTCTTGTTACTGTCCAGATGTTTGCGCTGGCACTGAAACTGCCACAGCAGGTGTGACTCTGGCACCCACCCACCCACCGAAATTGCAAGAGCAGGTACTGCGGCCTTAACGCCAGGTGACCTTGCAATCAGCCAACAAACCAGCAAAACCAGATTCCCTTTAAAGGGTGCTTGATGGACCAGGCAGAGGGGATCACACGTGTAATCCCAGTGCTTTGGGAGGCTGAGGCAGGAGGATCACTTGAGGCCAGGAATTCAAGGCTGCAAAGTAGGCTATGATCACACCATTGCGCTCCAGCCTGGGCACAAGAGTGAGACATTGTCTCTAAAAAAACAAAATAAAGTCCCTGATGATGCAGTAAATTTGAGTTCTACTAGGTCTGGGTCCTTGCGTATACACGGCTGGCTCTTGCTTGTGAAGAAATGAGAAGTCTGTGCCCAGCACTCTGCTGCTCACATTCAACGGCTGTTTAAGGGGACACTCCAGCCGCTGTCTGAGCTGCGAGCCGGGCCAGCTGCTTCTCGTGGAAGAGACAACTGGTAGGCACGTGCGTCTGCCAGGCCTGGGTGTCTGGCGAGCCACATTCTGCCAAGCGAATGAGGCAATTTGTTGCCTCCAGGCAAACCACCACCGACATTTGTTGTCAATGACAACATCTGTGCTGTCAGAAAAGACAGAATTTGGGAAATTCTTCCGTGAGCCTGGCGGTTTCCCACAGCTCCAAGACTTCCTGATGAGGTCACTGTGGACATGAACAAAGGGAAGGTTTGGGTTTTCAACACAATGGAGTGGCAGCACTGGGCGCAGCTGCGCCATCAGGGAGCCGATATTTTCCACACGGCCTGCTGTGGTCTGAGTGTCTATGTGCCCAAATCGTATGCTGAAACCCTACCCCCAGGTGATGGTGTTCGGAGGTGGGGCCTGGAGGAGGAGGCCAGGCCATGAGGCCTCCGGATGGGGCTGCTGCCTTCTGAAAGGGACCCCAGAGTGCTCCCGTGACCTTCTCCACACGAGGACAGAACAAGAAGCCACCTGGGAGATAGGACGCACAGGTCTTCAGCGACACCAAAGCTGTCAGTGACCTGACCTTGGGCTTCCCGCTCCAGAACCGTAAGAAATAAATGCTGCTGCTTATAAGCCACCCTGTCTACAGGACACTGTGACAGCAGGCCAAACGTCTAAGACACGACCAATGTAAGACATTACAAAATCCACTCAACGTGCCTCACACAGACCAGTGGGCCTTAATACAAGGCAGAAAAGTTCATTGCTTAGAGGCCACATTGTAGCTCATGTTTAAAGAACTGCCTCTCGGACCTTTGGTGTCAGGAAAGAATTAGCAACAATGATCTGCGAAGTCTATTACAACACTGCTCCCTCCTCCATGAATCTGTGTAAGGCCAGTGTGTCTTGAAATACTTCATCAAAACAACATTTTGCCTGAGCCTGGGGGTTCGAGACCAGCCTGGGCAACTTGGTGAGACCTTGTCTCTACAGTAAGTCACAAAAACTAGCTGGGCGTGGTCTGTAGTTCCAGCTACCTGGAAGGCTGAGGCGGAAGGATCGTCGGAGCCCAGAAGTTCGAGGCTGTGGTGGCCATGAGCGTGCCACTGCACTCCAGCCTGGGTGACAGAGTGAGACTCTGACTCAAAAAACAAAAAACAACATCTTGCACCAGAATGAGTGCAGATCCAACGGCTTCTGTTAAAGCAAACATTCAAGAAAGCAAATAAAGGTAATACCACTCTTCTTATGCATTTTATTTTGGATATAGTTATTTCTTGTTCTGGAGTCAGAGTCTCACTCTGTCACCTAGGCTGCAGTGCAGTGGTATCCTCAAGGCCACCGTAGCTTTGACCTGCTGGGCTCAGGTGACCTGTCTGCCTCAGTCTTCTAAGCAGCTGGAGCCACCAGCATGCAGCATCACACCCAGCTAATTTTTGATTTATTGTAGAGACGAGGTCTCGCCATGTTGCTCAGGCTGGCCTCAGACCCGTGGGCTCAGGCAGTCCTCTCACCTCCACCTCCCAAAGTGCTGAGATGATATGAGCTACCACACCCGGCTTATAGTTACTTCTGTTTAAAAAGTCAGATATGTTCGCATATAAAAGGTATTACTGATGTTTCAAAATGAGTCACTACTCTTAAGTGTTTTCCGGTTGAAATTTCTAATACAGTAATATAAACAGGCATAACAAAAATAAACAAAAGCAGCTGGGCGTGGTGGCTCATGCCTGTCTTCCCAGCACTTAGGGAGGCAGAGGTGAGAGGATTGCCTGAGCCCAGCGATTCAAGACCAGCCTGGGCAACTTGGCAAGATCCCGTATCTACAATAAATAAAAAAATTAGCCGGGCATGGTGGCACACACCTGTAGTCCCAGCTACTCGGGATGCTGAGGTGGAAGGACTGTCTGAGCCCAAGGGGTTCGAAACCAGACTGGCTAACTTGGTCAGACCCCCGTCTCTACAATAAATCAAAAATTAGCCAGGTGTGGTGGCGCAAACCTGTGGTTCCAGCTACTTTAAAGGCTGAGGTGGAAGGATCGCCTGAGTCCAGCAGGTGGAGGCTGTGGTGGCTACGAGCATGCCACTGCCATCCAGCCTGGGCAACACAGTGAGACTCCGACTCAAAAAAAAAATACACAAAAGCTCTCTGAGGTCCTCAGTTAACACATTTTCAGTTCTAAATTTCCGGTTGGTGGTTCTTCATAGCTTCTCTTTCCTGCTGAGATGTTCAGTGTTTTCATCTGCCTCCAGCACGTTCTCAGTCGCTTGCCGAAGCACTTTTAGACGGCTGTTTGAAATCCTCAGCAGGTCATTCCATCATCTGTGTAATCTCAGCATTGCTACTTGGTGAATGCCTTTTCTCACTCAAAGTTTCCCTGGTTCTTGGTATCAGTGACCTTCAAATCCTGGACATGTGGGCACCATGTGGCGAGTCCGTGTGCCTTCCTTATCCGGTTTTAGCAGGCCTGCACTGACACCACGCCAGCAGAGAGTCGGGGCAACACCTCTGCTCCTGAGCAGAGTGGAGGTGCAGGACCTTGGCCTCTGACACCACCCAGCGGGGAGGGACCGGCCCCTCTCTTCTGCCAGCCCACTCGGCCTTTGCTGACCCGGTGGGAGGGAACAAGCCTTCCTTGTGGAGGGCAGCACTGGAGAGAGGCATTACTGTCGGGCGTTCTGGTTTGCTGGGTCGTCTCCCCCTTCTCTGGTCTCCTAGAAGCTGTCTTTGTCTCTGCCTGTGGGCGTTTCCAGAGTTCAGATCTCCCAGGCACCCAGTCCAGGACAAATAGGAGGCAAAAAGGAAACCCAGAGAGGCCCGCATGTGACTCTGAGCACTCCGTCCCCTGCTCTCCACCTCTCAGAGTCGTGGTGGCCAGACAACTGCCAGGGTGTCAACTGTTCCAGCAGGAGGACTATGGGGATGTCTACTGCAGTTGATCTGGAATTGGAAGATCACTTATAAAACTATAAAGTGGTCTTAAGACCACAAAGGTGACAACTGCTCCTTGATGGGTTTCCACAGATCCCCAGGGGAGTCACCTCCACAAGACCTAGGATCGACCCTCACACCAGAGCAGCTCTTGGTGACCGCCAGATCCTTTTAAAGAACAACACATGCCACAAACAGTTGTTATACATGGAAGCCTCGCCCCCTACACAAACCGTGGAAATCTGAGCAAATGCTGAAAGTCTGCTTGATTCAGCCCAGAAAGAACCCACTGAGCCATCTCCTGTCCTTTGCGCCCACTCCAGACACAGCCCTACCCCACTCGCTCCTCAACATTTCTGGAAAGAGTGACATGAAACTAAGGAACAGTCGCCACACTTCAGCTTTACGACGAGAGCGACAGAAAGTTAAACTTACGTTATTGGCAAATACTCGAAGGTCAAGCGCCACCGCATACATGACAGGCAGAGCCCTGCGGGGTTGAGAGCAAATGTGGTTGAAGGGGCCGTGGGGCCCAAGACACCACCCACGGCAGAAGATCACCCACGTCCAGGGTTCCCATCCATAATGGAGGTTCAGGCCCCCCAAACTCTGGTGGCCACGGTCTACTTCCGTGGCCTCCATCCAGGGCTTTCTGGCTGGCCACACCTACTGCCCAGCCCTGCTGGAGGCCCCGCCCTGCTCCTGTGAGGGGCTCCCAGAACATTCTTCACCCCTCAGTTCCACCAATGTCCAAAAAAGACACGTTCTAGGCCGGGCACAGTGGCTCATGCCTGTCATCCCAGCACTTTGGGAGGCAGAGACAGGAGGACTGCCTGAACCCAGGGATTCAAGACGAGCCTAGGCAACTTAGTGAGACCTCGTCTCTCCAATAAATCAAGAAAAATTAGCCAGGCATGGTGGCGTGCACCTGTAGTTCTAGCTACTTGGAAGGCTGAGGCAGAAGAGTCGCCTAAGCCCAGGTCAAGGCTGCCGTGGCTGGGAGTGTGCCGCTGCCCTCCAGCCTGGGTGACAGAGTGAGACTCCAACTCAAAACAAGAAAAATACAAGACGTGCTTTGATGAGACTTCTTGACAGGAGCCAGAGTTTGTGGCATACAGTGTTGTGAGACACTTTTCATAGCTAGCTGACAACAGAGAAATCTTTCCATGGATAAGGTGGGCTCTGGTTTGTAAAAGGCCTTCGGTAATTTCAGCATAAGCAACACTTTGCTATTTACCTAGTTTGCTAATAAATCAGAAGTCATAAAATCAAGAATGAGTTTGGCAAGGAATTTAAACTGCCCACCACTGGGTACTGCAGCCCCCAAATGAACACAGTTGGTATGCCTCTTTAATTCAAAGTCGAAAAAAAGTTCAAAATTGATGACTGAAGGGAAAAGCAGTTGCAATGACTTCGTGGGGCATAAAGTGCTGGAATAAATACTCTGCTTACGGAGATGCTGCCAAAAACTTGCCCGATCCACCACGTTAAGTCAACGTGGTCTATCACCGCTCATTATCTGTGTGAGCTCATCACATGTCAATGCCCTGATACTGAACATCCACACAGAAAACAGAATGCACATTTTCTGGAAATACATTTTTTATTTTGAGTTGGAGTCTCACTGTCACCCAGACTGGAGTGCAGCGGCCACTCCCGGCCACCGCAGCCTTGACCTGCTGGGCTCTGGCGATCCTTCCGCCTCAGCCTTCCAAGTAGATGGAACTACAGGCTCGCACTACCACGCGTGGCTAATTTTTTGATTTATTGTAGAGATGAGGTCTCGCCAAGTTACCCAGGCGGTCTCGAACCTGTGGGCTCAGGCTGGAAACACATTTTTAAAAACTTCTGCTAAAAAAGAAATGGTGCCTGTTCCCCTGCCACAGGTTCTGCTCAGACTTACCAGTTTTCCTCTTTGTGGGCCTGGAACGCCCGCAGGAATGATGTGCTCAGTTAAGGAAGGTGTGGGTGGCTATCGGGAGACTCGTAGGGTGCTATGTATGCAACAGCAGAAAGCAGGAAGGAGTCAGGAGTCTGGGCTCAGGGCGCTGCTCACCCTCCAGTGGACCAGGGTCACAAGAGTGTAAGTTGTTGAAGGAAGAAAGGGTGTAAGCCTGCACGACAGAGAACTGCACCGCACTGAGTGCAAGTATACGAAGTATTTGTTCCAGATCTACTTTCTCCAGTAAAAAGGACTTCTAACATTTTTCTTATTCAGCCATTTCAAACATTGTATTTGGTTTCTCTGAGTCCAGATGACCACAAGCTATATTTAAGCACTTTAGAATCTGTGGTATAAAGTTTATTTTATCAACTACACAACTCTTGAATTTCAAGATTTAGCTAGCTACTAGCCCACTCTCCTGTGTGTGTGTATTTTTTTTTTTTTTTGAGTTGTAGTCTCACTCCATCACCCAGACTGGAGCGCAGTAGCACACTCACAGCTACCCACAAGGAGCTGGAACTACAGGAGCGTGCTACCACGCCCAGCTAATTTTTTTGATTCATTGTAGAGACGAGGTCTCGCCAAGTTGCCTGGGCTGGTCTGGAACCTGCAGACTCAGGCAATCCACTTGCCTTGGCCTCCCAAAGTGCTGGGATTACAGGTTGAGCCACCAAGCAAAGCCTCTTGTGTGTATCTTTAACAAGATGGCTAAAAAAAAGCAAAGTGAGATCTAGCGATGCATATAAACACTCAAAATGCTAGACTATGTAAGGCCTGGACTGGCCTTTCCAATCGACCTGAATAAGAACTGGCCTCACTGAGGTCTTCAGTTGCTTTCATAGGATGCACATGAGGCCACTCTTGCCGGCCGATGCTGAGCTCTGGGGTTCTAATGCCTCACTGAGGGATGCCAGCAGTCCCAGCAACTCTGCTTAGTGCCTTCAAGGCAACAACAGTCTTCTCTCAACAGGAGTAAATAAAATGCTTCCTCTCAACCAGCATTCTTCCTTATTACATATGTAAACGAATGAGTCTTCAGATCTAAGCTAAATTTAAGTACCCGAGTGAAACACCTAAAATGAGTTTTTCTTCCAAAATATCTGAATCCCTGTCTAACTGCAGGGATGAACAGCTGGCCCAATGCTTCAAAACGTTAAGCCCCACGTAGTCCACGCCATCTGTGACACACTGAGTAGCATGCACAGGTGACAAAGGATATTGGACGATCACGGTCTGGCATTTGTAGGCCTCTATGAAGTCGTGGTTCCCCACCGCGTACGTGCACCTGGAAAAGAAATGACAGAGACGGAGGACCAGGGCGCCAGAACGTGCATCCGCACGAGAACCGCAGGGAGGCTGGCCACACAGACCACACGCTCTCTTCCTCACGGATGCGCCATCCTTGGCAGTCCCGCCAGGCAGGTGACCAAAGGTTGAAGAAGAAGCACACAGATGACCTCTGAACCCACAGGCCAGGTCAGGCGGAGTCCTACAGTAAGACTCAGTGACTGCTCTCTCAAGGTCCAGAGGAGAAGCCTAGCATCAGCAGGCTTCCCGAGTCAGGGACTGAAAACACAGGACATCCTTCCACGCCATCAAGGGCTGACGAGGACGTGCCAACCAGCTCCCGGCGTGGGAGTCAGACTCGGGCACTGATCACCAAGCCTGGAGTCCAAGGGCAGAGCAGGAAATTATGGTGCCTTGTACGACAAGAGCCCAGTGGCACTCTACTCGACTCTGCCCAAGGCCCTGCAGGTTCTTGAGTTGTCCTGCTCCCAGACCATGTGGCCCCGCAGCCCAGGTTAGTCTCACAGGACCGCAGGACACAGAAAGCAGCCTGAACTGAAGTTCTGGAGATGAAAATTGCAGATGCAGAGTGGAAGGAAACAGCAGTATTTTGTTTGCTTTGCTCCATTCCAGTTTCTTTACCAATAAGGCAAATTAGTTCAGTAATAGACACAGTCACAAGAAAAAGGGTAGTTGGCTGGACGTGGTGGCTCACACCTATAATTCCAGCACTTTGAGAAGCCGAGGTGAGAGGATTGCCTGAACCCACCAGTCCGAGATCAGCCTGGGCAACTTGGTGAAACCTCATCTCTACAATAAAAATCAAAAAATTAGCTGGGCATGATGGCATGTACCTGTAGTTCCAGCTACTTGGAAGGCTGAAGCAGAAGGATTGCTAGAGCCCAGCAGGTCAAGGGTGTGGTGGCCGTGAGCATGCCATTGCATGCCAGCCTGGGCAACAGAGTGAGACTCCAACTCCAAAAAAAAAATGAGAAAGGGTAGTCAATGCTGAGGTTCCACCCCTACTAAATAGATCACCATCAGTCAATATGATAAATATTAAATGACGTTTCCTTTCATAGAGACAGGCTGGAGTGCAGTGGTGTGATCGTAGTTCACTGCAGCCTTGACCTCCTGGGCTCGAGCGACCCTCCTGCCTCAGCTGCCCAAGTAGCTGAGACTACAGGCGTGCCACCACGCCCAGCTTTATGTGACTTCTTAACAGTACTACACAACGGTTATAAAAGAAGCTCACAGGTTTTACCAAAGTGAAATGACAGATGTGCTTTTCTACCTTTCCAAGTCAAGATTTCACTGTTTCAAGCACAAAATGATGCAAGACACAATCCCTGGTCAGTCAACAATTCCAGACATGAGTGCTTTTCTTCCTCGCCAACAGGTTACCTCAAATGAGCTGCAAACATCTCATCATACGGCGGTTCCAAGACTTGCTGACACTTCTCCTCTGGAGAGGCCATCTGATGTGCAAGAAGCGGAAAGAGTAAAATTAATAGGCACAGAAAGTCTGCAGTATACGGAAAGAGATTTAGACAAACCTCTCTCTCAAAAGAGCTTACATCTCACAGTTCACAGTCACACTGCACACGGCAGCACCACTAAATACAAGGCCCATCCCTTCTACAAACAGCTATCAGTACTTCAAGGGCGGAAGCAGCCCACGAACAGCACCCAGTTTTGCTTACCGCAGGCCAGGAGGTATGCTCGGCACTTTCATATGTCTTTCATATTTAACAGTCACTGACTACCCTGGGTGTGGTAACTAAGGAACACAGACCTTCCATGCACGAGGGCTAACGAGCCTCGGAGGTGCCACATGCAGGGTGACCCTCAGAACTGGGCCGGGGACAGAAGGCCCACACCAGCACGCCAAACTTCTTCTCTTAAGAGACAGGGCCCTGGGGTTCTCTCCGCCCACCTGAAGCCGCGGGTTTGCAACATGAGGATGCTTAAAAGACACCAGCTCAGCACACGACGTTCCGTCCCTGCTATCGATTGCTTCATACACCTGGAACGGGTGAAAGGGAAAACCTGAGTAGATCGCACAGCAGCCTATTCTGCTCCCGCCCACACAACGCATGGTAGCCCACCGCAATTCCCCATTTGCTACTTGGAAGGAGCCAGAAGAAGCAAAATGTAACAGGTCACTATGCCTTCAGGCAAGCAAATAACAACTCGATTTCAAAAAGAGATCTTCCCGAGGCGAGGAAGAAAACAAGTCATGCAAAGAAGAAGTCGTCAGTGGTTTATTACTTAGTTATTAATGCAGGGGAATTATCGTAATAGTTGTACTTGGTCATACTAACATACATGTGGAAAGTCACTTATACAACTCATGAAAAAAATCAGCTCAAAAACAACAATATATCCAATATATCCAAAATTCAAAATGCTTCCACTCAGCCTAAATATAAAGTAAAGAGGAAACGAAACAGTTACATAAATGACGTCACAGGCATACCATGGGATACTTGGCTGCTGCTAAAATGAACAAAACAGTCTGTACCTTATAATGTGAGAAATGTCCACAACGATTACTGTTCAGTGAGAAAAGTTCACTGCAGGAACACTGCGTGACTTGACATGGGGGGAAAAGAGATCAGCAAACCGATGCCCAACGTGCAAGCACAGGAGGAAACACAGGAGCCACAGCACCTGGTGGGAGGGTGTACCATGGGGAGCTGCAGGCCAGGAGCCCTGGGCTCTGTCTAGCTCTGGAGACGCAACCTGTGTCACCACAGACATTTTAGCATTAGGAAACCAACTAAACATGTGAATTACATTGACAAAAAAGACCAAAAAAGTGCTAACTGTATACACAGAAAGCCAAACACAGAGCCGCAGGCTAGCATACTTTAACCACCACAAGATTAAAATACGGAGATTTCATGCCTGCACAAGACTCTAGCCAGAGATGACATAACGAGGATCTCCAAGTAGCCAAAGAGCACATGAAGCGTCCTCGACGTCGTGACTGGCAGTGAAGGGCAATGAGATACCTCCACACGCTGCCAGGGAAGGCCAACAATCCTAAGAGCAGCCCAGGGTGGAAGGCAACGCAAAACCCACGCGTCGGCGCTGAGTAAACTGGCGGGGCCATTATGGAAAACTGGTGTTTCTACTAACATGAGCAAGCACCCGCTCTGCGGCCCGGTAATCCTGCGCCCGGGTGTCTACTCCTAGGAGAACGGGAGGGCCGTGTCCCCAGGACATACCCAAGAACTCAATTCCTCCCACCTCGCTGTTAACTCAGGGTGTTGACAGGAAGGCTGACGCCACCCACCAAAGACTGACGCACAAGGAATTGCTACCTGACTACTAGACGCAGTTGCACATGCATCTACATTTTGAAACAGCAATTCCACTTCTAGGGATTTACCTTGTAACTAGAAACAAAGACGTCTGGAGTGCAGTCACCACAAAATACCAGACAATCTACAACTCCATCCATAGGAGACCAGCTGAAAAAACCGTGGAATGTTGAATGTAAGACATATGGGGCAACTGTTTCGAGCAAGAGCTCTACGGACCATCATGGAATGACTTCCAGGATACAGTTAAGTGAAGAAAGCAAGTTGTAGAAGAGTGCAGACAGAATGCTCCCTCTTGAATGAAGGGGAAACAACAGTATATCTTCACATCTCTCTCACATACACACACACCCCTCTAAAAAATACACAGGAAGGAGGCAGAAACTAATGGAAGGAGAACAGGAGAGAGAAGGGAAGTTTCTGAGCACACTTTTTAATAGTGTTTACTTATGAACCTATTCGAGAAATTCAGCAAAAGGGAAAGACAAACCTAAAAACTGAATACAAATACATATTTAAATAAATATCAAAGGACAGCATCACCATACTAAAAAAATATGTATAAGTAACTTCTGAGCACAGTTCTTTGGGATTCAACTGTCCATACTCTAAGGGCAAAAAGGCTGCACACTACCCTCACCTTGGCTCAGTAGATACTTGGTAGCGGTGCTGGTGCCCAGTTCTCAAACTGCCTTGTTATAGCACAGATATCCATCTCGCAGCCCTCAGCGCAAGAGAAGGGAGGTGCCAGACAGAACAGGGCAGGCAAGAATCCCACCGGACTAGATGCAGCCACGGGCAGAGACTCCAGGCTCACCTGCAGCCAAGGCCACCTGAAGACTTCCAGGCTGTGGCCACAGGTCTTTCGCCTTCACAGTGAATCATGGCCCTTCAGAGCCAGCCCTCCTGCCCAAGCTCACGCAAGACCACAGGTTGCTGCTCTAGGTCATGGCACCTTCCTCCTCCTCTCTAACACTGTCAAGGTCACAGATGGGCACACAGAGATCTCGGTGAAGTACTATAAAAACCCAGTCCTGGCCAGGCTCGGTGGCTCAGCCTGTCATCATAGCACTTTGGGAGGCTGAGGCGAGTGGCCTGCCTGAACCCATGAGTTCGAAACCAGCCCAGGTAACTTGGCCGGACCTCGTCTCTACAATAAGTCAAAAATTAGCTGAGCGTGGTAACACGCACCTGTGGTTCCAGCTACTTGGAAGACTAAGGGGAAGGATTGCCGGGGCCCAGCAGGTCGACACTAGGGCGGCCATAAGCGTGCCACTGCACTCCAGTCTGGGCGACGGAGACAGACTCCAGCTCAAAAAAAAAAAAGAAAAGAAAAGAAAACAAACCTAGTCTGTGAACCCAGTCTTTTTCTTCACAGGTCTGGCCCCAGGCTTAGGAATCTCATCCAAAAGGTAGACAGACGGACACTGAGAGCCTCAACTGGTGATGAGTAGGGCTTGGGTTTCCTCTTTAAAATGACCATGCAAGCCGGGCTCGGTGGCTCAGCCTGTAATCCCACGCCTTTGGGAGGCTGAGGTGAGTGGACTGCCTGAGCCCGCGGGTTCGAGACCCGCCTGGGCAGGCGAGACCTCATCTCTACAGTAAAATCAAAAAATTAGCCGGGCGTGGTAGCGCGTGCCTGTAATTCCGGCTACTTGGAAGCTGAGGTGGAAGGATCACCGGAGCCCAGCAGTCGAGGCTGCGGTGGCCCGGGAGCAG